TAACGCTGTCTTCTGTCACGTCCTCCTTCCTGATCGGATAGAGCGAAGTACCTAAATTGAATAGTAGAAGGTAAGTGTGTGCGCGTGTGTGTGTGTGTGTGTGTGTGTGTGTGTGTGTGTGTGTGTGTGTGTGTGTGTGTGTGTGTGTGTGTGTGTGTGTGTGTGTGTGTGGTGAGAGAGAGAGAGAGAGAGAGAGAGAGAGAGAGAGAGAGAGAGAGTGAGTGAGAGTGAGTGAGTGAGTGAGTGAGTGAGTGAGTGAGTGAGTGAGTATGTGTATGCGTATGCGTATGCGTATGCGTATGCGTATGCGTATGCGTATTCGTGTACGTGTTCAGGTCCGTCCGTGAGCATGTCTATGTAATACTGCCCATGCACATACCCAAGCGAAAACTATCCTACAGTCTCGCTAATAAGAACAGCCCCTCGCAACCTGTGGAGCCACGACTTCACCTAATAACTAACAAAACTCATTTCCTACACGCAACGAGAGCAAGGAATAACAGCAACAAAAAAAAAAAAGGAAGAATATCTAGCTGTAGTAAAACGAGAGAGAAGCTGGCTGGTAACTACGCCAGTGTTGCCAGCGCTAAGTTGGCACTCGTTCATCAACACCCCCCCCCCCCGCCCTCGTCCCCTCCCTGCCTTCCCCTTCCCATTCTTTCTCCTCTTCTCCCCCTCTTCTCTCTTCCTTCCCCCATCTGTCTTCCTTGCCCCATTCTCTCTCTTCCTTCCTATTTTCTCCTTCCCTCTTCCTCTCCCTTCCAATTTCCCCCCTTCCCTATTCTCTCCCCTCCTCCCCTCCCTGCCTTCCCCTTCCCCATTCTCTCTCCTCTTCTCCCCCTCCTTCTCTCTTCCTTTCCCATCTGTCTTCCTTGCCCCTCTCTCTCTTCCTTCCTATTTCTCCTCCCTCTTCCTCTCCCTTCCAATTTCCCCCTTCCCTATTCTCTCTCCTCCTCCCCTCCCCTGCCTTCCCCTTCCCCATTCTCTCTCCTCTTCTCCCCCTCCTTCTCTCTTCCTTCCCCCATCTGTCTTCCTTACCCCATTCTCTCTCTTCTTTCCTATTTTCCTCCCCTCTTCCTCTCCCTTCCAATCTTCCCCATTCCCTATTCTCTCTCCTCCTCCCCTTCCCTTCCCCATTCTCTCTCCTCTTCCCCTTCCTTCTCTCTCTTCCCCCATCTGTCTTCCTTTCCCCATTCTCTCTCTTCCTTCCTCTTCCTCTCCCTTCCAATTTTCCCTTCCCTATTCTCTCTCTCCCCCTCCCCTGCCTTTCCCCTTCCCTACGCTCCTCCCCCTCCTCCTTCCCCTTCCCCATTCTCCCCCTTACTTTTCCCTCTTCCCCATTCTCTCTCCTCCTTCCCCCTCCTTTCATTCCCCTTCCCCATTCTCTCTCCTCCCCCTCCTTCTCTCCTCTTTCCCTCCCCTGCCTTTCCCTTCCCCATTCTCCCTCCTCCCTCAAATCCCCACTTCCCATTCTCTCATCTCCCCTTCCTTCCTCTTCATCATCCCTTCCTACCTCCTCCCCTCCATCTTCCCCCTTCTTCCCTCCCACCTCCTCCTTCCCCCCTCCTCCCCCAACCCCCTCCTCCCCTCCTCTCCTTCCCTCTCCCCCCCCCCTCCTCCCCTCCTCCTCCTTCCCCAACCCCCTCCCTCCCTCCCCCAATGGGTCGGCGAACGCTCACTTTCCGGTGAAATGGGGAGGAAGAATGCCTTAAACGAAGGGTAAGGAAAGAGGCAAAAGAATATGCGGAATTCAGCCAGGGATATGAGGAGGAGAAAAGAAAGAGAGAAAAAAAGAAGAAATACGTCGCGAAAGAAAAGAATAATCGTGAAAGAAAGGCATAATGGTGGAAAGAAGATAATAATAACGGCTATAATAGATAACCCGTGGAGTTTCCTAGAGAAATATAGGAGAAGGAGAGAGGGAAGACAGGAGGAGAAGGGAGAAAGGAGAAGGAGAGGTGAGAGAGGAGGAGAAGGAGAGGAGAAGGAGGGTTAAAGGAAAGAAAAAGGGAGAGAAAGGAAGGAAGGAGAGAGGAGAAGGAGAGGGGGAGAGGAGACGGAGAAGGGAGAGAGAGGAAAATGAGAAGGCAAGGGAAGAGTAGGAGAAAGGGAGAGGGAGCGACAGAAGTGGTGGGTGAAGGTGGAGGAAGTGGTGTGGAAGAGAGGTGGAGAAGAAAGGGAAAGTAGGGGGTTTCTTGAACAGAAGAGAAAGAGAAGGAAAGGGAGAGAGAGGGGGTTTCCCCAAGAAAAACAAAACGAAAACGGGAAGGAAGAATGAGGGGAAGGAGGGAGGGTGTTCTCTAAGAAAAAGGAAACAAGATGTGGAAGAGGGAAGGTGAGTGAGAGAGGGAGTGTTCCTTGAGGAAAGAAAAGAAAAGGGACGGGATGAGAGAGGACGAGGGAGAGGGAGTAGAAGCGGAAGCAGGAGTGAGAGAGGGATGGGGAGTGGGAATGAAGGAGAAGGAGGGGGAGAGAGAGAGAGAGAGAAAGAAAGAGAGAAGGAGAAGTAGGCATAGGAGTAGGAATGGGAGTGTGAAACAAAGAGGACGACTCAGACGTAGACGGAAAGGGAGAGGAAGACGAAGAGGTCGACGGAGCTGGCAAGGAAGAAGAAGAAGAAGAGGGAGAGGGAGACGGAGCGAGTAGGGCGGGCAGTACCTAGAGCAGGTGTCGCTTATGGCTGCCGCGGGAGTAGTAACATAACCACTCCATCCGCTGCACAGAGTAAATATAACGGAATTGCTCTCCTAAAAATATAAAAATGTAGTTCAAGGCGCCATCCATTTTCCGCCAATAAGGCCTGAGCTCGACCCTTACCTGAGGCAAGCTTCACGAATCTTTTTTTTTTTTCAAATCCAGGTTAAAATACATTTTTTTCCCAGTGAGAATAAATTATAATCTTGCGAGAAATAAGAAATGAGCTGTCAAAAGCGAACTAAAGAACCCTCAATCACGTTTTATAAATAATATCATGTATAAAATTTCCTTCAATTCAATGCACTACAATAACAATAAAAAAACGATAATAATAATAACAATTCATCATAATATTTGTTCTATTAATGATAATAACATTAAAAACAATCAAAATATCACCTTAGCATCATATTACCTGACCAGGTAAAAATAGACTTCCCTAGAGATTACGGAGCTCTAGTTAGTAAACCAAACTATAAAAAAAATTAATGACAAGGGCTCTCGGGAAGTGTGAAATGCAGATCGCTGATCTGAAAAAGAAGGGAGGGAGGGAGTAAGGAGAAGAGGAAGGAGGGAAGGGGAAAAAGGAGGGCAAGGAGAAGGGAAAGGAGGAGAGAGGGAGAAGAACGACGACGAGGAGGAGGAGGAGGAGGAGGAAGAGGAGAAGAAGAAGAAGAAGAAGAAGAAGAAGAAGAAGAAGAAGAAGAAGAAGAAGGAGAAGGAAGGAAAGGAGGAGGAGGAGAGAAGAGAAGAAGAAGGAAGGAAGGAAGAAAAAGAGTAGGAATAGGGACAAAAGCCAAAGAAGAAGAAGAAAATAAAGATCAAATAAAAGCAAAACCAAAAAAGAGAAGGAACACGAAACGAAAGACGAGAAGGAAGAGAAGCATGAAACGATGGCGGAGGAAGAAAAAAATAGAAAGAAAAAGAAAACTAGAAGAAACTGAAACAAAAAGGAAAAAAAAAATAAAGAAAAAAAGCCAGACCAGTAACGAGGGGGGGGGGCGAGGGGGCGGAGGCGGGGGCGGGCGGCGAAAGGAGAGTCGGGCGGGCGGCGGGCGGCGGGCGAGCGACCGAGCGAGAAACGCGAAAGGAGGGAAAATCAATGAGCAGCGCGGCCGTTTCGGGGCTAATCGCCTGGGGGAGGCCCATGGGGGAAGCCGACGGAGCCCCTGGGATGAAGCCGCCCCCCGAGGGAGAGTCTTCGAGGGCCACCGGGAGCTTTCTCGCCCGCTCAGCCGCCCGCCCGCCGCAGTGCCGCAGCTGGTGCCGTTCCTTCACGTCGGGCGCCTCGCTTGGCTCCTTGGGGAGGGGAGGGGAGGGGAGGGAGAGGAGGGAGGCGGGGAGGGCAGTGGAGGGGAGGCGGAGGGATGGTAGAAACGGAGAGAGAAGGGGAGAAAGGACTGGAGGGGAGGACGAAGGGAAAGGAAGGTAGTGGGGAAGGGAAATAGGAACTGAGGAAAGGAAGGGGAGGGGAGGGTTGGGGTGGAAAGGAAGAAGATGCAAGAGAGAGGAGAGAGGGAGGGAGGGAGGGAGGGAGCGCAAGACGTGAAGACGCTATAATATGCAAATGCAACCCCGTGCAAGGCGAAGAGAGTGTCACCTGATCAGGCCATAAAACTGCCACTCAGCCCAGCATCTGGAGGAAGCCCCTACGCCGAGCCAATAGCGTCTACACTGCTCCATATGTATTATTCAGTATTTCACGGGTTTAAAATGACAGACAACTTTCCATAATAAAAAAAAACCTACCGAGAAAAAGTTAACAAAAGGTTTAAAATTTCCCCGGGGGATATATACTGTAGCGCCTGTAGTGTTCGCATCACACCTGAGGCACCAACAT